CCATAGTGGTTTTTTTTTTGTTTTTTTTTTTTTCCAACGGTGACTACACTATATTATTCTCTCAAACTCTTCCATCTTTCAGTACCTACGTACCACTTCTCTTAATCGTAATATACGGGGAATCCCCTCAAGCCCGTGTTGTCGTAGATACCTACCTACCCTGGTCGGTATCAGTAATGGCTTTTTGCCAACACGGGTCGGGTGTGAGTGCGAGTGGGGGTCCGTTATGTGTGGTGAGTGGTGGTGCGGTGGAGAATCACTGTTGGCCTTAGACACTTGAGTTACTCTATATGGGGATGGGGGAACTTCAAGATGAAAAGGGAGGAGCTGGTGCAGCTACTGGCAAATTCTCCGTCTTTGTGTTATCTGGGCCCCTACCGGCAGGCCTAAGCCTGCACCCGAAAACATGCAGTACCTGTTTCTCCACGAGAGAGGTCACCTCCCTTCACCAGTAGAGGTACTTAGTTTCTGGTACTTTCCCCACGCTGCATTGAAGCCGGCAGCGGCGGCAGGTTTTTTGTTTGTTTTTCTCCGGAAAAGCTTGGTACATTTTGTGTTTCGTCAAGTGATCTGGAATCCATGAACGTAAGCTTGGTACATTATATATTACGTTTTTTTCACACAAAACACACACACGCACACGCACACAGCCCGTTCTATTCTCGGGGCCGGCAGTCCCGAAAGTGCTAATGATATAATAATTTCATGTTCTATGCATGTTGGCTCTAATGCACATCATGTATAGATATTCCTGCAACGTACCCACAATCCACAAGCATTCCACACCACACTGATGTCACACATGTCACATTAACTGTACGGAAGGGGAAAGATTGCTTGTACATCCACTGCTGCACACTCCTTGCGGGTGAGCCTATTAAGAAACAAGGTTGCTTGTACCTCCACGGCAGAGCCCTCGCAGGGGAGGCCTATTAAGAAATGGTATTAAATTACTAATTGAAATTCGTTGATATGCCCCACCCGGAAACCAACAGCGCGCGCACATACATTATACATGCAGTACGATAAGTTCTTAACCCTCTTTCCCCCCAAATAGAAGGTACGCTCATTATAGCTATACTGTCAGTTACTTGGGAATCTCGGTCCCCGTACAGCTATAATGACTGTACGGTAAGTATATTCAGGTACGGACCGTACGGACAGTACTACTGAGTATAGTTTAAACCACCAGTACAATACCCAGCTAGAAGACCAACAGCTGTGGCGTGCATGCTCCCCAGACTCTCGGGATGTACCTGGGCACGAACAGATCCGTCTACTAGTAGGCAAAATGGGTCGTATGCAAGGCCCATTTTGCCTCCATGGATGTCCGTTTTGCCTACTAGATGCATGCCCAGCGAAATCATGGCCCATCTAGCGAAATGGCTCCCCGATACATCTCCTCGACTCTTATCGTTCTGGCCGCATCATAAGCCTCCTCTGATGACTATCCATTCTCCAGATAGATGCCGAAAAGAGAGGTAAAGGGGTCGTTTAGACCTGCATAATAGGAAAGACCACGTCATGTGGATTGGATGCCAGTAGTGTTCCAAATACTGGGGTCGTTTCTTTTGCCGTCTTCCAGTAGGCTTTTGGACTTGGACTAACTGGAAGACGACAAAACAAACGATGATTTCCCCTTCAGTATCAGACTGGTGGACTGTACGTTGTCGTAGATTCTCCAATCTGCTGCTCATTTTCTATAGAATCCCAGTTGCAGGATGAAATAAAAAAGAGAAGGTAACGAGGCGCAACTTGAACGTTGAGTACTATGTAGAGGAGAGGATGAAAGACCACCCTATCTCCCTAGTACCCAGTTTTGTCTAATAGTGTAGGGTAGGGAGAGAGGAAGAGAGAGGGAGAGAGAGGGAGAGAGGGAGAGAGGGAGAGAGGGGTAGGGTGGTCTTTCATCTCCGCCACATAGTCAAGACCACCCTAACCCTCCACATGCTCAACATTCGAGTTTTGCAAGTTCACAGTTGGCTAAGGGGGTTTGGGGTTAGGGACACAGGGGGAAGCTTATCGGAGAGGGAGGGGTAGCAACAGCAATGGCAGGTGGCGGCAGGGTCCGGCAGACCTTTGGGAAGAACTTCAAGGCGGAATGTGAAGGGCATTGTAGTGTATGATTGAGTGACGAGAGACTGCTTTTGCTTTTGCAGGTGTATGAACATTGAACAGGGATGCCATTCCTTTCCTTCCATCTGTTCGGCACGCCGTCAGCCTCTGGTTGGAGGAAATCCGAGGAATTGCATGGATTACCAAAGATCCCACCTAATGGCTCTCCGCGATTCTCCGGGGCGCCCTTGTGATCTTGCTGTGAACCTTAAACTCTAAACCCTAAACCCTAAACCCCATCTATAGTTTTTGCTGTCCAGATTGAGGTCCCTACTACTCCCTAGCAGTACTATGAACAACATCATAAGTTAAAAAGATATGAAAGTGATATGGGATGGTGTGATGGCTCTCTCATAGTGCACGCGCACAGTGTTCAGGGGGGGCGTTCACGGGGCGCCTGGGTACCTTAACTGGGCTGCCGGCTGAGGCTGTGTTTGATGCCCTCCTATCTGTGCCTGGCTGGTGGAAAGAGAGGGTCTGTGTCTCCCCCGCTGCCCATTCAGGACCCTGTGCATAACTTTTTTTTTAATTATTTCTTTTAATATCCTGTCCATACTTCGAGCCTCCAGACAACCTCTTAAAAAAAAAAAAGAACGTGATATGGATAGCCAATGGGGACTGCAGAACTCACATTGAATTTCATGATTCTTCACCCCCTGGAAAGGGCCCGTGAAAGAATGTCGAGACGTGTACTCAATCCTCTCCAATGCATTTTACTGGTTCTTTTCTGCCAACGAAACACTCCTCGGAAGTGGAATGGGGGATGAAATGAAAACAAATAGAGAAGGGGGGGTGTTGTGACTTTTGCCCACAAAAAAAAAAAAAAAAAAAAAAAAGAAGAAGAAGAAGAAGAAGAAGAAGAAGAAGAAGAAGATAGAAAGAAAGAAAGACAAGAAAAGAAAAGAATAGCATAGTCCACTTCATTCATAAAGGTTCCTCGGCATCCACATCTCGGTATTGGATTGC